AGATGAACATAGAAGACTGAGATGTGCACCATTCAATTCCCCATAAAAATGCTGTCGAACGGTATTCAAATCACTTTCTGGAGAACGTCTAGTTTACCTGCCATTAGATCCATTTTGTGACATTTCCCAATTTTCGAAGGGATGTTTTGAGGAAATTCGAGAAGGGAGGGACGAACTCTCTTCCCTATCGTAGAGTAAGTTTACTTGTATGTTGGAAAAAGATGATACACTCGGGCTTGAGCGAGTGTTTTTTCCCTGGTGTGGCCTCAAACATCGCTCTCCGTCATGCCCTGAAATGAAAACCTGATTTTTTGGTCTTCCAGGTGGCTCTACGGAGCTGTGGTGTACACCAATCGGTTCTCCATGCAAAATGCTATCGAACGATATACATCTCAGTTCCCACTTGAAATTTCGCTTTTCATCGCCTTTTCCTTATCGCCGATCGCCTTCCTCAGCCCTGGCCACCCACGTGCTATTCACGTGCGCGGTGCGTGAGAGCTCACGTGACAGCCGATGGCCTTTCTCGGTAGCTGGCGGGCAGCCCGATCGATACACCGCTATGCGTGTCGAAAGTGCGTGGGAAAGTCACCACGCACCGCGCACGTGAATAGCACGTGGGTGGCCAGGGCTGAGGAAGGCGATCGGCGATAAGGAAAAGGCGATGAAAAACGAAAGTTTCAAGTGGGAACTGAGATGTATATCGTTCGATAGCATTTTGCATGGAGAATCGAATGGTGTACACCACAGCTCCGTAGAGCCACCTGGAAGACCAAAAAATCTGGTTTTTATTTCAGGGCATGACGGAGAGCGATGTTTGAGGCCACACCAGGGAAGAAACACTCGCTCAAGCCCGAGTGTATCATCTTTTTCCAACATACAAGTAAACTTACTCTACGATAGGGAAGAGAGTTCGTCCCTCCCTTCTCGAATTTCCTCAAAACATCCCTTCGAAAATTGGGAAATGTCACAAAATGGATCTAGTGGCAGGTAAACTAGATGTTCTCCAGAAAGTGAGTTGTATACCGTTCGACAGTATTTTTATGGGGAATTGAATGGTGCACATCTCAGTCTTCTATGTTCATCTGGAAAACCAAAAAAATCTGATCATATCACAAGGGCATGACGAGGTGTGATGTTTGGGGTCACACCACGGAAGGAACGCTCACCTGCGACCAAGTTTCCATGTAATTCCTACAGACAAGTGACCGTAGTCTACGACAGTGAAGGAAATTCGTCGCTGCCTTCACAGCTTTCTACATAACATCTGCTCTAAACATGGAACATGTCACAAAAAATGGGGCGAGGTGTGATGTTTGGGGCCTTACTACGGAAGGAACGCTCATCTTCGACCAAGGTTTTCATGCAATTCCTACAGAAGAGTCACCGTAGTCTACGCAGTGAAGGAAATTCCTCGCTATCTTCACAGCTTTCTGCAAAACATCTCCTCTGAAAATGGAAAATGTCACATAATAGGCCCACTATGCCTGCTGAGAACTGTTCAAAGATTCCACTTGATATACAGAGGATGGGATATTGAGAGCAGAGGGAACACGTAAAGCCAGTAAGCGCTTAAAAACGAAATGAAGATCTAAGAATTCGGAAAATAACATTCATCTAATCTCACAATGTAGTGGATGAGATTGAGTACGTGGCGCATTCTGGGGTAAGTTTTGAGGCCCTTCTTTGTGTGTAGCGGTCAGCCCGCATAAGCGGGATTATATACACACCACATGCGAGCAACTACTTTTTGAGATGAAAATCGAGTGCAT